GGCCTAATTATTTTTCAAATACCCTTCAAATCAGGTCACAGCAGATGGGCATATTCACATCTGATTGAAATGTAATTAAGAATATACACATATCTATGTACATAGGTATTTATATAGATAGATACCTTGCAGAAATTAAGAATAGCAATTATTAGAGCAATACATTCTGTGCCTCTGATTTTTCCTTTCAACTACCTTGAAGTTCAATTTGAAGAATATAAGGATGGCCAAACCTGAGTCTGTTTTTTCTAGCATTGTTACCATGTGCACAACCCTGAAAACACAAGGTTGCCTTCCATAGGTATTCTCTTACCCTTTTTGCCTCAGTGCCTTTTTTTTACACACAAAAGCCAGAGCAGTATTCTTCAGCATTTGTCAAGATAAAGTAATTCCAGTGAATGTGGATGTTTGTAATATTAACTGAGGTCCTGACACTGTGTCCTGTATTTGGGCATAAGCCTCCTTGGGGACTCAAGTCTTAAAATAAAACATTGGAATATGTTTCCCTTTTCTTGAGTTAGTTGATAATAAGTAAATTATACAGTGGATCAAATTCTGTTTTGGTGTTTACATTTCAATGTTCTGGGGAGGACAAATGACAAAACATACAATGAATATTTGCAGGTGTGTCCTATAGTTAGCATTAACATTTTAAATGAAGAATTTCATGCATTGATTTAATTTCTCTAAGGAAGCATCTTTCAGCCAGATAGTCCCCCAGATGAACTAACACAAACTTCAGGAGAGGAGGAGCATCGTTCTCCTTTCTTCCTTAATTTTGCTCCTGGCTAGTTTCAGCTTCCCAGATGCTTGGAGATATACTTTATTTCCATCTTTGCCTCCCATCCTGCCCTGTTTTGAGGTCTATTGATAGAGGTATTCAGCTCTTCCAAACAACTCCCAATGTTCATTTGAAAAGAGCCTGGGAAGAAGTTTCTGTCTCCCGTGAATGGAATAAGAAATACCGACCGCAGTGACTGGATTTGTGTAGGGGAGAGTTCTGTTCTAAACAATGAAATAGCTGTCAGGTGCAATTCCTCTCCTGTCTTGAGAGAATAATTTTTTAAATTCAGTTATTTAATAGAATTTGGGTAAATCTTGAAAACTGACAGGGACAGAATGGACTGAACAGCCTCTGTGATTGATGGAAATTTCTTCCTCGGAAAGAAGGCATTGCTGTCAAAGAAATAGTAACTATCACAGACTAATCTGTTCGAGTACGTCTGTAGACTTCAGAAAAAGCTGCCTTTAGGGTAAATAATGCACCAGTAGCAAAAAATAAATAAAAGGCATTGATGTGCACTAATAAACAAAAAAACATCAAAAGAATTCTCAGAAGTCCTACTATGAATTGAGTGGTACTGTCAGAGGAGTTGCTGAGTTTCAGTAGCAGATAATTTTCTTTCTTTCTTTCTTTTTTTATGGAGAGCTGGTGAGGATGGCTTGATAAAAATAAAATACATTCTTAGGAAAGACATCAAGTGAGCTTTTCACATTTTTCTTTCACAATCAGGAGAAGACAAATCAGTTCAGTTGAGTAGGATGACAGCATGTCAGACAGCTTTTCTCGCTCACTGCCACATTCCCACAGTCTTGCTTCTTTGTGTCAGAACTATTTTCATCTTGGGTACCAAATGTGATGAAATTAGGAGGTTTTGATATTCGTGTCTTTGTTAGACCCTAGTTAATATTAAGATGCAAATATTAATAAGTGAACATGAATTACAGTTTTTAGTTCTTTTCCTGTGGGAGTGAAATTCTAAAGCCTAATGTTTTGAGTGCCAGACATATTTTACATTTAGGAAAATCTGCATACCGTATTGTTCAGAAATATTTCAGGCTTAACATTTTTCTTTTATTCTGTATTTCAATGTCTTTACATTTACATAATTCATTACAAAGTGGAAATTCAAGAAGAAAAAAACCCCAAGAAGGCAAACTATTTTTAGCCATTCTCTACTGTGTGTAGGTCATGTTGGGTTTCTGAAGCACAGAAATTACTGACACCTTATTGCATAGCTTATGATTCTGAAAGGAAAATAACATTTATCTTTACTAACCCTGGCAAAATCATTCTTACATACATGGCTGAATGTAATAGCCTAAGGAAGTACAGGAGTTTTGCATTCACATATGTCATCAAGCCAGTGGAATTAATATTTGGCTGTTTATTTAGCTCCTATAGTACATTGCAATCCCCGGAAATATTTCCTTAAATTGTTAGGGCTGAATAACAACAAAGTAGCAGAAAAGGGGGAACCACAAATAAAATAAGAAAAAAAAAAAGTTAGAAGCTAGATTTAGGATGTCACTTGGTCTTTCATCTTGATACCTTCTACAATTTTTTCTGATTTATGCAACTATTACAGTAGTGCTTAAGTAAATTGTAAACTCTTCTAGTGTTTATTTCCCCCGAAGATATAGTAATTCAGTCTTCTCTGAAGAATGAGATCATCCTGAGAATTTCTGTGGGCTGCTGGTGATACTAAGCACAAGTTAGTATTCCATATCAGGTATTTGTAAGTAATCTCTGCAGAGCCAGAGGATTAACTAGCTCACCGAAAGCAGAATACACTATTTTGTGTTACAGTAAAATGCCATTTGACATTTGTGTCTTTTCTTCCATCATCACCTGTGCCCATCCCTGCCACCCCTGGAATTCTTCCTTTCCTGCCATGCTCTGTTCACTTTATTTTTTTTTTCACGCATTGGCTGCTAAGTGCAAATTTATGATCTGTAAAGCTTCCCGTAATGCATCATCTTCTTTTACCTTATTCATGGCCTATGCTTTCCTTAGATCCTCCCATTTTCTCACCTTTCTATTACTTTAAAGAGATTACAGTTCAGGTTTGACAGATCCTTCCCTCTTTTCTCCTTGGATTAATTCCTTAGAACATTTTTCCATTAATTATTTCTAAACAAATTAGTAACCTGTGACTGTGCCCTCATATGTTTTAGGGTTTGGTTTACATATTTGAAAATTATTCTATATCTGCAACTGTATAGGCTTGAACCAGAAATAATAACTGGTAATGAAGGTAGGCTGAGACTTTAGTCTCTAAATAATCTGTGTTCAAGAAACAGAAGTCGGTTTAGTGTTATTTTTGGATCCATTATTGATTTCTCTGCCCAGTGTAAAAATGGGTACACAAGCAGGATGACAATAAAAGGTTTTTTAAATAGAATGTTCATGGTAGAATTTCTAAGATAATAGATTAATGCTACTGCTTATCTTAGTGGTTTAAAAACTTAAATGTTGCAAGTGAATACAATATGAATGTAACTATGTTGGTGAGTGTTGCTGCTTGTGACAGGCCGCATTTCATGGTGTTACATGAAGTGAAGCTGGTCCCAGAGCTGTAACTTTTTCCTTCCTGGATTAAAGTTCAGATGAAGTAGTTAACCAGGTTTTTATCTCTCTTCCCACCCTATGCTTTATTCCTGTGCATGGGAATCGCTGGGATGAATCAATCATAAGTTTAAACCTCAAGAAGAAATTATTAGTTATTAGGGACAGAAATCCTGCTGACAGCAGTTTCAAATAAAGGAAATGTGCATGTTATGCTGGCAGTGGAAAATTGTAATTGGAAGCTGGCCATTTAATAGTTTGCTGCAAACAGTACTGTGTTTGATTTCCTGTACCCATGGAGCTTATCAGAATAGTGTTGGTTTTTTACAAGGTGTTACAAAATTAAAGATAGAGCTAAGGTGGATAATTGGAACAATGAGTCAGCTTAGCTTAAGCGAACAGTTTTGTTATACAACATGGCTGTGGAAGGGAAGAGATTTTTGTTGCATCAAATCTCACAGACAGTGCAAAGGTCACCAACCTCACCTGTCAACCAGTGTGTGGATCTCACGCAGCATAAATGAGGCTTTCCTGATGGGTTTTGTCATGTGAATAGTTCTGTGTCTGTTGACAGAGAGTAATACAAATTTTGAAATACAGGAGGAAAGGAATGACATGGCCTACTTGCCCTAGGGTTGAATTTCATATCTCATCACCTATGAAACTGTGGGTGTCATGGGACCTTCTGTCATCACCCACCTCTGAATTATTCCTTACCTCGTTGATCCCTCTGAACCCCAAGGTAAATGGGGTTGGTTTTACAGACCTTGTCATAGGTTTCAATAGGTATGTCATAGAAACAGGAGGGGTTTTCCCTAGATTAAGGACATAATATATATAGCTAAATCCACTGTGGTGATCTCTGTTGCTGGACCCTTCTGAATTTTCATTTATCTGTAAGTTCAGTGGTCGTGAAGTAGGTGGTACTAATACAGATTAAGGAATAGGCTCATTACAGATTTTATATTACACTATTTTAAATCTGAAGGAAATAAAAAGAAAACCTGAGCAATTTGAACACAAAAAGAATTTCAAAAAATAAATACTATGCTATTAAAAAACTCTGTCGCATCTGAGAGCTTACACTGTTCATGATATAAAATGTAACAAGTGCTAGTAAAAATTATTCCATCTGGTATAGTTTAGCTAGAACTAAAAATAGTTGATTTTTAGAATTCCACAGGAGTATTTTTAGTCTTATTTTTTTTTCTCAGTGATGTGTAGAGAAGAACAACTGAAACATTAATGATTTGACTGTGATAGTGCAAATTCTAGTTTGGTTCTTCTGGAGACATTTTGTTGTTCGTCATGTAAATGACAGTTTAATCATGTTTATCTAGAAATAGCAGTAACAGTAGTAATGTGCTTACGTGCAAAGGATATAGATTCACTCTTCAGTGTTTTAATTTCTAGAATTTATGAGAAATTGAGAGTGACCATGAAAACCCTAGCAGAGACAGGGATATTCGCCTTAGACTGCTAAACTGGCAGTGTTGTTCTCAGTTCAGGTTCTTCAAGAATTACAAAAATAAGAGAGATTTTTTTCCTCTTAGAAAAAGGGAGCCTTCAGTTTTTCATTTATTCATTTTGCATTTTATTGTAACTAAAATTCCTGTGTATTTTGAATTAATACTGTTTTTTCACATTCCAGGGATACCACTGTACAAAGTCTTACCCTACAACCTTCTGTTAAAGATGGTCTTATTACATATGAAGATTCACCACTGGTCAGTAGTAACTCTTGAATTGTGTATTTGGAAATTATTGACTTATTTGGAAATGTTTTTCATTTAAAACAAGTAGTTAAACATGCTGACCTTTCAAGTAAGATTTTGATCCGATTACTTTCATGGGATGGTCAGTGAGTATGGTAATACTTCATTAACTTTTACTTAGGTCACATTTGTGATGTTTGCTGTGCCAAATAAGATGATAGTTGTGGGAGACTGCATGCACAAAATAAGTATGGAAAATAATTTAGTAATGTTAACCTGACATATTCTAACTTATGCAGTGATATTTTTCACCTCTTTTGAAGCATCTCAAGCCCACCTGCTAAGCTGGCCTGCAAACAGCCCTTGCAGCCATTCTTGAGTTCTTTCAGCTTCATGTTGACAGTTGAGATGGAATCTGCTTTTGCACTTCTCTGTCAAGACTCAGATTCACTCTGTCAGGCTCCTCGGTTCCTTCTCTAGTGCAGAAGAAAGGAGAAGCTCCTTCTCCTTTCCATCCTTAACCCAGAGAAACAGAAACACCTGCCTTTATTGTCTCACTTTCTTCCTCACCTCTCTGCCACATTTCGGTCAAAACTTATTCCTGTTCCGAGTCCCTTTCTTGTCTCCGTGCCACCAAGAGCTCACCGCTACTGACTGAGAAATCAGGAATGCAGTTTCTTGCAGTTATTTTTGGAGAGTTCTGATGATTTGATTCTTTTCTCTTTTAGGTAAAAGCGGTGAAGTTTGGACATATCTTGGTAATAGATGAGGCAGACAAAGCACCAACAAATGTTACCTGTATCTTAAAAACTTTAGTAGAAAGTGGGGAAATGGTTTTGTCAGATGGAAGACGAATTGTTGCCAGTAAGTAGTTAGATTTGATCATTTACAGTAAAATGTAACGTGCTGCTGGTTTTCAATGATTACATTACTAAGTAGAATAATAGAAAAAGTACTCGATGCTAAAAGGCTAGTAAGTAAAGAATTTAGAGTACTTTTCTTTACTACTTTTGCAGTAACCACAAAGGTTTTCTTAAATTAGCATTCTTGTGAATTTTGCTGAAAAATTATAAAAACCCAGCAACCACAAAAAACCCCCATCCCACTCCCCCCAGGTATCCCCTCAACCAAAAACAACCAAACAAACCCAAAAAACCAACTGTAAGTTGACCTCTCTTGTTTCTCATTCACCATAACAAATAAAGTTCTAGTTGACCAAATTATGATCTTGGTTGTGCCTATCTGGAGAAATGGGGTATAATTTGCTCAGATCTGGAATTGAAGGTATGACCATATCTGAGGTTGAATTGTTAAGAATTTAATCTAATCAAATATGACATATGCTTATATTATTTAAGTATATCCAGAAGGATCAGTGTGTTTTGTAAGTTAATGGAATTTAATTCATGTGAATTGCAGGAACTAAATATTTTTCATTATTTTTGAAGAAAGACACTGTTCGAAATGCCCTCTTGAAGTTAGTACACATTGTACTTTATGTGAGGAGTTTCTTTTTAACAGTATTTGGAACTATGTTTAAGTATGAGTGGAGCAATCATTTAGCACTCACGTGGCACAACACTTGTGTTTTGCTTTTCATCATACACTGTAGGTGGGGTTTATTTTTTAAATATCTTGCTAGCTGGACTCAATTCTTACTGTAATTTTGTAAGGGAGGTAAAAGGATTCCCAAACACTGTGTGCCACTGGAAATGTGCTGCAAAGGAACAAGTGGAGCCAGTCTGGCTCAGTTTGAAGAAACAGAGCCTTCATATGTGTGAAATCTTGTGATTCTGGCTTCTCACAGTTTTTTTGAATCAAAAGGAATTTTAGTCCTGTGTTCCCAGATCAGATAATATCAGACCTATATAAAGATACATTTTATTCACCATTGACATCAGCATTTTGGTGAAATTAAATATAAACAGTACGGGTAGGCCGCACCCCAAGAGCAGTGAATGCATTTCTGGTTTTTAAAATGAAACACTTCAGTTAAATTTTCATGAAAAAAATTATGAAACTTTAAAATTAAACCTAGAACACTCATAGTTGAATGACATGCTAAGAAGCTACTGAGCCTTTTTTGGTAACTGTTCTAATTCTAAGAACATAATTAGATTAGAAGAATTCTAAGATGAATTCTAATCTCATTATGTTCATTTAATTCATTCATAATCACAAAGCTTAAATATGCAATTAATACATTTTATTTCTTTTCCAGATCATGCTTATGTAGAGGGGAGAGAAAATGTAATAGTTGTTCATCCTGATTTTAGAATGATAGTACTAGCAAATAGGCCTGGATTTCCTTTCTTGGGTAATGACTTTTTTGGCACATTAGGTAAGTAATTCATATTAAATCGTGATATTTAATAGAACTGATTAATAGAATGACTGACTTTATTCATTAGATTTCATGGAGAGAAGGGGTCCTTATGCATATTGATACTTTGATTCACATAAGACACTCAAGGTGAGATTCAGCTTGAAGACTAACATGTAAATTTTGGTATCTTAATAAAAGTGCCCGAACTTGCCCTGATTTGAACAGCTATATGTAGCCATCTGTGTTACAACTGCCTTATTTTATGTGGTCTAGACAAACACAGCCAACAGACAAGGATAGAAGAAATCTTTGCAGATGAGTGTATATTTTATACAAATGTAGCAAAAACACTAGCTGTAAGATGATGTCAGTGGTTAACACATCTACTCACCATCTTTATTGCCTCTATCAAACAAGCCACAGGCCAGGTGTTGTCCTCTTCAGCGCAAGTGATCAGAGATGGATGGATGGTTCTTTCCTCTTCTCTCAGCAGTGGAGGCTACTGTCTTTTTTGGTTCTGTGTGCTTCTTAGTCCTCATTGGTCTCTCCATGCACATGGCCATATGGGATAGGCCTTATTAAAATATGTATATTTTACAAGATACTGAATTCATCCTAGTTTCAGTTAAGGCTGTCCAAATTTCACATCAAAGATTTTCGTATCAACAGCAGCGTCATTTCAAAAAGCTCCTGGTAGGTCTTAAAAATTCCGTATATCAACAAAGATTCCCCAGAGCTTCATCTCACAGCAAAAGCAAGAATTTACATTGCATAAGGGAGAGTGATGAAGAACTCATTGGTGTGTATAGTCCAGTGTTAGTCTGAGTAGGCCTCTGGCACGGCTTTGGCAGTGCTACATGTAGGGTACCAACAGAATAGCCCTCCAGGCTCCACTGACTGTGTTGTCTATGTTAGCTTAGCCACTTATGTACAAGCACCCTAATTTGCATGTCTTTCTCTGTTGGCTTTGGCTGTAATGCTTATTCTAAAAGAAATAATAATGTACTCATATCAGTAGGAGCAAACCCAATTCCGTATTGCATAGTAGCTTGTTTTTCAGATGGATTTCCCAGTAAATAGGCATTCTGTGTCAGAGGCCCATTTGTCTGAATTTCACCCAGCTGTGTTGCCCCAAGTTATATATATAGCCTACATATGGCCTATGTATAGCCCATGTATAGCCTATTTCTTTTTCATGACCTGATTTCCCTCCTTACATGGACCCTCTCAACAAAATTGATCATTCCAGCTTCATTGCTTTTGGCCCACGTGGCAGAGGCTTGGTTGAGATTTTGGGGTTCTTCATTGATTTTGTTTTTCAACCATAGGGGTGGTTCTGCTTTTAATCTAAGC